TAATCATTCAGTGGAAATCATCAGGAGATGTGACTTAGACAGAAAAATCCTGAGCAAGTGAACAGAGAGATTTTAAAACTCCAGTTAGGGAATTGTGCAATTTTTTTTTCACATTTATATGCACAGCAAACAGTTTGAAGGGATATTTGATTGGAAAAAGGTAACAACAGCACCTGATGATCTGTTATGCCCACCCCTTGGGTCTGAGAAATCTTCCATTGCAACTTTCTGTTCTTCAAAGGAGACCTTCATAAGACAGAACACCTGAGATGACTAACTTTTGACAAAAAGACCATATACACAGAGGGTGTTTTTTTTCAACACTAACAAGAAGCAAGGCAGATCACAAGAATCAGATCATTTCTTCTTCTATTGATCACACAATACAAAATGGAAGACCACGATGAATAAAGGCAAATACTATCCTCACCCACTACTGATTGCCACATGCTTTCAGCCGGGTTATTTTTTTCTGCTTCTTAATCCGAGTTACCTTCAACTAAAAAAGACTCTCTGAAAAGAAAAAAATCTCAGCAACAACTATCTTTCCTCTGCCTCTAAGGGTGGGTGTATTTTACACCATGATTGCTTTTCAAGTCTCGAATATCACAACTACTTCAATCTCAGGACAAATCACTTCCGAGGAAAGAGCTCAAGGGGAAAGAAGGAAAATTGGTTTTGAGGCTACATGAACAATGTGTTTTTGTATCCTGACTTATACTTGAAGAGGAGGAAGAAGAAAAATGAAGGTGTTTCTTCTTAAATGGTTCCAACAAATGACTCCTTGGTGCAGCCATACTTTCTTCCCATGCTACTGCTTTCTTCCAAGTGTTGGGCAAAAGTGGCATTTTGCTGGCTTGATTCCAAGAAAACAAACTTTCTCCTTCCAAAGATATCTCCCTGAACACTCTGGCAGCTGCTACATGAATGTCTTTTAGCTTCTCTTCCTATCCATCTCCTGAAGGAGGAGAGGAACCTGTTCTTGCAAGACTGGAAAAATACAACTGAAAGCAACATAGAAATAAGTGAAAAGAGCTTCAATTCTTTTAATTAAATAAATTTGCGGTGAGAGAAAGATTGAAGCAGTGTCAGTTCAAATTAACAATGTGGAAATTAGTACTACTGATGGTATTAGTGAGTGCCAACTTGACTTGTGACGCACTTTTCTTTTTAACATGCCAAACCCAAGATGATTCTCAAGAAGTTAAACACTAGAAATACTGGCTTTGTTATGTCCTAAATTTGTTTGGAATCTCTGAGGGGAAAAAAATCATTTGGCAACCAATCAGTACCTATTCTTTATTATACAGTTAAAAGAAAATTGCATTCAATTCGCTCAGACCAAAAGATCTTGAGCCAAATCCATCCCCAATGCAAGCAAGTCAAACTTTTAAAAAATATAGCTCAAAGTGTTCTCAAGGTGAGAGGTACAGAATAACTTTGAAATACTAATTACAATCTCTTCTACAAAATATAATGCTGCTAACTGCTAGAAAACTGTATTTCACAAACAACCTTCTTCATATCTCAGCCCTGTGTAGGCCCACAGCACCTCAACATCACGGCCAACAATAAACACTTTCAAGATCAAACAACTTTACTGCAACCTTATGCATGTGTGTGTACCCATGAAACTATACATATGTGGAAAATAAGCATGGACATAAGTCTCTGCATGGTGAAGTCCACAGACTTTTCACTGCTCGTTATGAAAAAAAAAATGTTTAAAATGTCAGTTATGCAAAAGCACAGACAAGTCTTTATATAAATGTAAGGTTTCTGCAGAAAAATATTCCCGTGTTTCTTAAATCATCAATAGCTTTTTATTTTTATGTTGGCTAGGATATAATCTTCCCACCAGCAAGAGACGTAAATTAATAAATAAAACAGAAAGAAAAAAAAGAAAACAAAAGGAGAACTCTGCAGCCTCATTTCAATGCTAGCAAGAAATGGAGAAATTTAAGCAGCAGAAACTGAAATGTTTTGTTCTTTACACTTTATGTTACATATGTAACATTTCAGTATAACATAAATACTGTTAATTGTGTTTTATGAATATTTAGGGATCTACAGCAACTTTATGAATTAATTGGAAGATAAAGACTGCTTTTTTGAAAAGAAATTAAAAACCTTCAGAGTTCATTATTTTGTAAAATACTAACTCTGAAACTCCCTTTTTTTTTTCCACTCAGTTGAGAAACTTGTTTACTGAGTTCTATCATGTTCCTCCATTTGTGACTCAAGCTACTTCTCAGCAAAACAGCCGTGAACAGCTACACACTGATAAAATGCTTTAAACCTCAGAACACAAATTCATCCTCAGTGATCACAGTATCCATGTACCTGTATCAAAACACTTCTCTAGCTCTTAGAGGTGCAAAGGGAGACCCTGCGCTGATGTGCTGAGTCAGCACTCTGCCGGTAAGGCATCCCAAGCCAACTCACAAGTACACCACAAAAGCAGGACCTGACACAGCAGCTGGTGCTATAAGAAAACACACCGGGGGAAAGAAACTCAGGCAGTCATACAGGGCCTGATTCAAAAGCCACTTACTCCCACTGGCTTTAGCAGACTTTGAATGGGACCTCAATACACAGAAGGAATGGGAAGACCTAGAGAATTTAAAAGAACCAACTTCAATGTAGGAAATTTCAATACAGTCACTTCTAAAAAACTGCACCAAGCCACAACACACACAGCTGCAAGCGCTTCCTCCCTATCCAAGCATGCAGTCATGAAAAGTGTCCATACATAGGAGGCACAGTTGTCATACCCCTGTAGCACCACTTACGTATTGCTACACAAGAGAAGGAGGCTTGTCTGAGGCAACAGGCACACAGGGCTAAGAAAAAACTGGATTACAAGAACGATATTTCATGTGTATAGCTATGCGTCAGTGCAATGTACACTAGTTAATCTTTCCCGAGTGCTTTCACTCTCTTTGCATTGTTATTATACAGGTTGGGTCCTATTAATAATTACCTTCCTGTGACGGCAGCGTGCAGACTTTCTCCGTTGCTGGTACTGCTGCTTTAGAATTCTTTCTCCAGGTCTGAACACACTGGACAGACTACTGTCCCCTCAAGGATGTCAGGACTGGGATGGATATCTATGTGCATACCTGGATCTTACAAAACAAATGACAGCTTAATGCTGCTCCTCTCCTCACATTATCTCACCTAGCCATCGTAAACTTTGAATCTTTGCATCAAAGTAATCACAATTGCAAATAACGGCATCTATTTATTATTCCCTGCTGTTATGTGCAACACACAGCAAAAAACAGACAAGTGTTTTTTCACACTAGGCAAGATACAGGTTTACTATAAGGAGTATACTATAAATGCAATGCTTGCCTAGAGACACAGGAGAAAATTGTGTATAGTAAAGAAAATATAGCCATGGTAGCATATTCCTGGGTCAGGACCTCATAAATCAGTTTCAACTAACAATAAAAGGCTTATAGGGCATTTGTAAGGCACAAAGAATGAATAGGATCCTGGCCTCTGAGTAAGACTTGGTGAATTAATTTGACAATCAAGAGCCAATAACACAACACTAACCTTCTATAATACCAATCTTTACCCTAAGTTTGAAGAAAGGGGGTTTCCTTTGCCTGCAGGAAGAGGGGAGGAGAAAAAAAACCACTACCACCAATAAAAACAACAAACAAAACAAAACAGAAATAAAAAAGGAAGAAAATAAACCAACACAGAGAAAGCTACTTAGCTACACCATCTGGGAAGAGAGTGCTTTTTTGATAGCTCAGAGCTGTGGGTTTAAAATCTCAGCATCGTTTCTGCAAATTAAGCCCTCTCTCACGAACAAGGGGGCACAGCCATTCCCCACCTTCAGTTTTAGAGGCAGAAAAGATGATCCTTTCCTATCATGGCTGACAGACATAATGCTGAAAAAACCCAATATGTTTCTCTAGTTTTGGGGGTTTTGTAAAGCTGTAACTGACTTATAAGTAGCAGGTACCCCAAAGTGCTCTCTGCACCAGCAGCTAAGTCAAGTAAACATCACTTTCAGCACCACCATTACAGGAAGTACTGCTAAGACTTATTCCACCAAACAACAGGCTGGTTACCACTACCGTCCTCCATTTTCAAGTCTGAGTAACCTACCTCATGGCTCTTACACACTGGGAGCGTCCAGATGAGAAACTGCCACGGGCTGCTGGCGTACAGTACACGTAGAGCCTGCATCCCCCCAGTGACCGCAGACCAGCTTCCCTAAAGGATGCTGGGCAAGTCACAAGCCTTCTGCGCCTGAATTCGTATTTGTTTAAGAGCACTGGCAGCACTTGTAACGGGGACGGGGGAGAAATGGAGGCTGCAAGACAGGAGCTGTCGTGCCAGGCTCAGGGATCCTAAAGGAGCAGGAGTCGGTATTGCCACGTACTGGGGAGCAGGGGGAAGGGAGGAGACGCGCCTCGACGAAACAGAGATGGCTATCTGACAAGGGCTGGTTTTGTCCTGAAGATGTGCTTTATTGACTGGCTTGGGCCGTTTAATCTGCGTGTGCTGCAACACCAAGCACAGCTGACCCCACACAAAAGCCCCACAGCTGTTGGCCCCCACACGGGTCGGATCCCACCCCAATGGTCTCGAAAGGGGCTCGCTGTTCCAGCCACATTCCCCAGCAGCACGCTGTACTCCCAGACCCGCAGCCGGGCCGGCCCCGCTGTCGCCACTCGCCCCCCGCACATGCGGGCACATCCTGCGTGGATGCGCATCCCGCGGGAAGCACCGCGACGAGCCGCAGCCGCCCCTCGGCGTCCCACCGGCAGCTGCGTCCCTGAGCTACACCGGCGCTGGCAGCAACACCAGCGAACCAGCCCAGGCCGGTCTGCACGCAGGGAAAAAAAAAAAAAAAGGAAAAAAGGAAAAGAGAAGCGTGACGGAAAGCGCGGGGAGGGAGCGGTGCGGCTGCCGATGCCGCCCCCTCCCCGCGGCCCCTCCGCCGCCTGCCCGCTCGCCCCCCGCGCCCGCCTCACCTCAGGGACGGCTCCGCGGGCTGCGGACCCCGAGAGCCGCCCGGCCGAGCCGAGCCGTGCGCACGGCGGGCGCGCAGACCTTCTCCGCGCGGTCACTGCCGCGGCGCTGCCATGCGGGCGGCGGCGGGCGGGCAGAGCAGGGGGCGGCGGGGCGGGCTGGGCTCCGGGCAGCTCCTACCAGCGCCCTACAACGCGCACCCGCATGGCTCGGCGAGCGGACAGCACCGGCTGCCGGCGGCGGCGGGGCCAGGCGGGCGAGCGGCGGCCAATGGCTCCCGCGGCGCCGCGCATGTGAGGGCCGGGCCGGGCCGGCCCCGCCCGCCCCTCGCCCCCCGCGCAGCCGCCGCGCTCAGGTGGCCGCGGGCCCCGCGCCCCCAGGGACGGGGCGAGCGGTGGGCGAGTCCCCGTGGGGGGACGCCGAGAGGTGGCCGCGGGGCGCAACGGGAGCGAAAACGCCTGGTGGCAAAGCCAGGCGTTTGTTTTCGTTGTGCAGGTAAATGAAACCTAGTGCGTGAGGTGAATAAAAGAGCGACAAATTGAAATTGCGTGGTTTAATTACTAAAATATTACCTGGGGGGAGAAAAAAGTTAATTTTCTTGCGTCTGCCTTGAGCCCTTGAGGGAACCAGAAAGTCGAAGGCGGTGTTAGCCCGGGCGGGGGGCGGCACCGCTGGGATTGCAGGGACGGATTCCTCCCCGGCGGCTCCAGAGGCTGAGCACAGCGGGCTGAGGAAGAAGCCGAACTGACCCTGATTCTCACCTCAAAATCCATTAGAAACTTTTTTCCTCCTTTAACTGAAAAAAACCCACCGATATCCTGAAGTACTTGTGGAACACTGACCCGACAACTGACCAGACCTGCATGTCTTTTTAACTAGAACTGGATGTAATCTATTATGTTTAAAACTACACTGGTCTTGACCAAGAATGGAATTAAAAAAAAAAAAAACCTAAAACTCGTCTTTTCCAAATTTTATTTCCTTACCATGATTTCTAGGAACTGGAGGAGACGAGAACTGATCCTTTGGTGCTTGTTCAGAATAGTTTTATGGCCCTTTAAAGATTGAGAATCTCCTCTTTATAATTTTAGATGCATTTTTAATCAGACCTTCCAGTCTAAATGACTGTTAGACGTATCTAAGGTTACAAATAAAAGCACTTCTTAGCAGCAATTCACTTCTGAGACCAGAGAAAATCAGGCCAGCTTGTCCTGCTCTCAGCTGTTCAGCACTATTTTCATACCAGAGTTTTCATCTGGTGAAGAATTTTAGCAGAGCTCAAATTTAGTCTAATGAGCTGTCAATTATTTTCAGCTTTGATTTTTAATATCTTCATTTGGCCTTTTGGTTATTTTCTTCCCTGAGATCATCATCACTTACGTTATTTTTGGCCAGCATTTTAGACCTCACTGTTTCTTCAATAAGGTGAATTTATTATCTATTTATTTACTTCTGCTCTGACCCAGTGGCCAAGCCACATAGGGTGTGTAATCCTGGGGCTCCACAGTGAGGGAGAGTTTACAGAGATAAAAGCAGTCCAATCTGGTAAACATCAAGGCAAGTGAAAACAGATAATAACAAGAGCTGCTGGCTGGGAAATCCTGACTCAAAGGCAGCTGGCAGAGAAATTCAAGCGGAAGAAAAAGGATTTTTTCAGATGCCAGAGCTGGTCAGAGCTGGCTGAATCTACATTCACTTAGCAATCAAGACACTTTGCCAAGCTGAGGCACACCAGCAAAACAAACAAATAACTCTGGGGAGTTGAGAGAGAAGACACCTGGAACTGGGCAGATACAGATCCAATTAAGATTCCCTTTCTGACTGGGCAAGCACAAGTGTGAAGAACTAACCTCCTACAGAACATATGCTGGGTTACTTGTTTGTTTTGGTTTCTTTTTTACTTGTTTTGATATGTATTTAAAGGTAATGCAAAGGAGTTTTAATTTAAAACTCTTTACATTCCTCCCTTTCAAACTTCTCTAGCAAAGACCTCTCCCACTGTCTCGGGTTTGGTCTTCTCCGGGCTCAAGTCTGAGTGCTTTTGGGCAGCTCTTTCTCGATTGCTGTTTCTGGCTCTGATCACCTCAGACATGCTGAGGTGGGACAGAAGAGAGAGGAGGGGAGTTAAAAACCTGAAAGAGCTCCACTTAGGACAAATATACATCCCAGCTGTTCTGTTATCCTGCTATAGTCTATAGGGTTGTTTCAGCAGAAGTACAAATCAGCCAGCTCCAAGTTACTTCATGTGATAAAAGAGATGCCAGAAAAACAGAGGCAGTGGGGGGGAAATGGCTTCTTTCTGCTTGCACGGTTTTGACGTTGGCCCTTTACAATTAAAATAAACTAATATTGTTATTTTGATCTATGGCTCAGAGGACTGAATTAGTGATTACATCAAGAAGCAACAGCAATGCAGCCATATGCCTCACAGGATAAATTAATCCTGTTTGTTTTTACAACTGCATTTTAGTTTCAATTTTTCAAATTCCATAACCTTGACTAGCCAAATATGTCATATTTTTCAACCTTATTATTGTCCCCATTTGCATATAATTAAAAAATTTCAGAAAAATCAGCCCTCCAGCAGAGTTACGGCTTTGGCCAGGCTGAAAGCTGATAATTTATTCTGACATGATTTCCAGTTCTTTCCTTTTTCACCCAAACAGCTGTCCTTTGCATCTCAGATATGCCTGCTTGACAGTGTCCAGTGGGTGTCCAAGTTCAGTCCAAGGGAGCCAGGTGTAAAAGGGACACCAGCAGAAGGTGAACATAAGGAAGAGATAGTGCCAAAAATAGAGAGTGCCAGCAGTTTCTCGGAAAACAGTGCGGAAATTCCATACTAGGAAGTATTTCAGTCCTGGCTTCAAGTGGGCTGATAAATTTTTCTCCCAAGCAAATTTAAAATGAAGGGGAATCTTAATATTGTAGATTGGACAAGATGACCTTTAAAGGTCCCTTCCAACCCAAACTATTCTATGATTCTATGATTAAGAAGTAAATGAGGTAGTTACTTGGGAAGAAGTGTGGATGGCTACATAGAAGAGAGAGACAGTCAGGGAACCGGCTTTCCCCTCTCCAGAAACAGGGCAATTTGGCTTCATGCAATGGGCAAAGCTTGAAGGGGAAGACTCCAGTTTAAATGAGGAGGAGGATGCATGAGTCATTTCACTTGGCTACTGGCCACCTGTTCTCAAGAAAAGGGTTTCTAAGTGCTGAACAGTTCAACCTGTGGTGTTCACCTAGGACATAGGCAGGGAGATGGGGCTGGGGCTGCAGTCAGACTTGTCAGCCCCGATCTGCCACTTCCCATCCACTCACCCACCCATTAGTGCCCCCTCTGCACTACGCACCCTGCCACAGCAGCACTGAGGCTGACTTTCCAGGCAAAATTAGGCAATGTGTTGGCAGCTGTTTCATTGCCCTGCAGTCAGATGATGCTGGCAAGGGCCGCCTTTGCGTTTGCCCACAGCTGGCTGTGGAGAGCCTGTTGCATGGAGAGTCAACCATGGGGTGAGGGGTTCAGGGCCTCTGCTCTTCCAGAGAGGAGAAGAAAGCCTGTCACCTGAGGGCTGTGATGCTGCACTGCAAGACTGCTGCAGCTCAGTCTGCCCCATCACCAGGATACAATGTCAAAGCTTTCAAAAGTCCAACTCAGTTATGTCAGACAATCCTCCTTTAACTACCATTTTACTATTAAAGATGCTGAAGCAAAAAAGCATGTTTTTCTACTATAAAAAGCATTGCAAAACTTTGTCCCTACCATGCTGTGTTATCACTTTTCCTGAAGACACTTCGCTGTTATGCTTATTTTCAAACATCTGGCACAGCAGCCTCTGTGTTACAAGCACAGTGACCTTTGGAGGCCTTGTGAGCCAGCGTGTTCTGCTCCAGAGCTAGGACTCTCCCAGCTTCTGAACTTCCTGGCTGGAAAAAAGTCACTCCTTACCTTGTCTTTGTGCTGAAAAGAGAAGGGGTCTCTATATCTTAATCATCATCAGAATGGCTGTTTTAGATAAACAGCAGTTTCTTCCCCCTTTTAATTATGTCCAGAACTCCACAGTGTGCTCACGAGTTCTTATTTAATTTGTGATGATACAAATGCAGTCACCAATGTGCAGTATGCCTGTCTGAACACGGAACAGAGATTTGGGGGATGAGGCCTTATTCTTAGCAAGTACCTTTGTATTTTTAAACGAGAGCAGCAGCCGTGATGATGTTTGTTGTAAGCAGCACGTGTCATCACGCTGCAGCTCACCAAAGGAACAACACATGCTGGCTGCTTCTGATTACACAGAAGACCTAGTTTTCACGAGTTCTCACATTTCATCCAATGGATATATCAACAGATGGCAAATCTGTTTCATTCTGTACTTATCAATAAAGGACTATAAATTCACAAAACACACAGCATCATATGAGATGGAAGGGAGGCATGGCAGGAAGGCAGGAAGCTGTGCTGCAGGCAAACCTGCCCTTCACCCCTGCAGCTTGCCTGAGCAGGACTTTAATTTGGCAGAAGCAGGAATAAGATTGTGCATTGCTTGATCAACCCAAATAGAGCCTGTGTCAGTCAAATGTAGTGCCTGCTAACACAGCATCTTCATACTCAGATCCCAGCTCAGTAGTGCACCAGGGAAGAACCACCACTGAAGTGTTGAGTACCTTCAGATCTTTAGAGCCAGTGGGCTGGGAGGGGGGGGTTAGTTTGTGTTAGTCCACTTAATCTACTTAGCTCTTCCTATTTTCCTAATTTTGCACTTTACTACTTCTGTTATCTCTACCTCTTTTGCTCACCATGGTTTCCACAAACACTAAAAAAGCATGAAGACTGAATAGGAAATAAAAATTAAAAACCTGTCATAATCAGAATTAGCAGGGTAAGACCAAAAGAAGCTTTCAGCTGTCAGTTTGTCCAGCCCTGCTCACCAGAACAATTTCCCTGCCTCCACCGGGACATATCAGTCTGTTATTTCTTTCTTCAAATCATGCCTGAAAGCTATTCTTCCCCCTTCAGATCTCAAGTGGTTTTCTCAGTGAAATGGCTGTGGCTCCATGTGCAAATGGCTTGACACAAACCCTAAGTGCCCTACCTGGATCTAGGACAATGGTGGTCTTTAAAGAAATGGCAAAACAGTTATCTTCAGAGTGCTGAGCTATACCTGTGCTAGCACTTAACCTTTACTTCCCAATCACACAGGTACAATACTTAGAGCTTGCTGATTTTGTTAC